ATTTCTAGAGCTACTTCCTTAAGTATTCTGGGATGTAGATTATGAAGCCCTGGGGATTTATGCGCCTTCAATTCCATTAAATGCCCAGCATCATTTCTGTACTGATATTGATCTCTCAATTCTTCCCTCTCACTAAATCTTACATTCTCCAACATTTCTGGTATCTGACCTGTGTCCTCTTTCGTGAAGACAGAACCAAAGTATGTATTCAGTTGCTCAGCTATTCCTTTGTTCCCACTATATATTCCTCCATTTCTGTCTGTAGAGGACCTACATTTGTCTTCACCAATCTCTTTGTCTTCACGTCTCTATTAGAATCTCTTCAGTGTCAGTCTTTACGTTCCCTGCAAGCTTACTTTCGTTCTGTATTTTCCCCTTCTTAATCAATCCCTTGGTCCTTCTTTGCTACATTCTAAACTGCTCCCAATCCTCAGACATATTATTTTTCTTGGCCAATTTGTGTGCTTCTTCCTTGCATCAGATACTATCCCTAATTTCCTGTGTTAGCCATGGATTGGCCCCCTTACCAATTTTGCTTTTGTGCCAGACAGGAATAAACGGTTGTTGCAGTTCCCCGTGTGTTCCTTGAATGTTTTCCATTGCCTATCCACTGTCATCCCTTTAAGTAACTCTCCTCAATCTATCAAGGCCAACTGAAGCCTCATATCTTGATAGTTTCCTTTATTACGATGCAGCACCCTAGTCTCCAAATCAATTACCTCACTCTCCATCTTGATTAAAAAAATTCTATTGTGTTATGGTCGCTCATCCCCAAAGGGTCTTGCACAGCTAGGTTGGCAATGATTCCCTTCTCATTACTCAGTACCCAGTCTAACATGGCCTGCTCTCTAATTGGTTCCTCCACGTATTGATCAAGAAAATCATCCTGTATAAACTCCAGGAATTCCTCCTCTATGGCATTGTGGCTAATTTGATTTGCCAAATCTACATGCAGATTAAAATCACCCATGATCATCAATATTCCCTTATCACATGCATCTCTAATTTCCTGTTTAATGCCATTCCCAACATCACCACTGCAGTTTGCGTGTCTATATATGACACCCACTAATGTTTTTTGCCCCTTGGCATTTCTCAACTCTACCCATGCATACTCCACATTATCAGAGCTAATATCCTTTCTCACTATTGTGTTAATTTCTTCCTTAACCAGCAATACCACTCCTCTACCTTTTTCCTTTTTGCCTGTCCTTCCTAAATACTGAATACCCTGGTCACCCTGCAGCCATGTCTCCGTAATCCCAATTATATCGTACTTGTTTACATCTATCTGTACGTCAACTTTCCTACTCCTGTGATGCTGCCTAGCTTGCTGTGTTCCTCCAGCTTCACACTGTGTTATCTAAACCTTTAAGCTTGTCTTTTTGACATTGTTTGTCTTGCTCTTACTTTTCTCAATAGCCCTGTTTGAATTTTGTCCTTGGTTTCTCTGTCTATCACTTTTCTTATTCCCTTTTCTAACCCTTTTTTTGTCCTTGCTCCCTCCTTCTCTGATTCCTTACATAGGTTCCCATTCCTCTGGCATATTAGTTTAAACCCTCCACAACCGCTTTAGCAAACACTCCACCAGGGCATCATCCCAGTCCTGCCCAGGTGTAACCCGTCTAATTTGTACAGGTCCCACCTTACTCAGAACTGGTTCGAATGTGCTAGAAATCTGAAACCCTCCTCCAACACCATGTTTTCAGCCACATATTCATCCAATATATCCTGTCATCTCTACCCTGACTAGCACATGGCACCCGAAGTAATCCTGAAATCAACTACTTAGGTGATTTGATTTCTTCACTTTCTTTCTAGGTCCCTGTATTCTGCTTTTAGGACCTCATCCCTTTTTTTCCTTAAACCTATGTCATTTGTACCAATGTTTGCCACGACCACTAGCTGTTCACCCTCCCCCTCCAGAATGTCCTGTACCCGCTCTGAGACAACCTTGACCCTAGCACCAGGGAGGCAACATACCATCCTGGAGTCTCGATTGCAGCCTAATAAACGCCTGTCTATTCCCCTTACAATTGAGTCTCCTATAGCTATCGCCCTGGCACACTTTTTACCCCACCCCTCTGCTGCAGAACCAATTGTGGTGCAACAAGTTTGGCTGTTGCTGCTTTCCCCTGAGAGGTCATTCCCCTCAACAGTGTCCAGAATGGTACATCTGTTTTGCAGGGGAATGGCCACTGTAAATTCCTACACTACCTGCCTATCTCTGTTGCTCTGTCTGGTGGTCACCATTCCCATCCTGCCCGCAGCGTCTGAGCCTGCGGTGTGACCACCTCTCTATACATGCTACCCATGAAACCCTCTGCCTTACAGATGCTCCACAGTGTCTCCAGCTCTGAAACTCGAGCTTTCAGGAGCTGTAGCTGGAGACACTTCCTGCACACATGCTGGCCCAGGGGACTGGAATTGAATATTTTGCGTCAGTTTTCACCAGCTAGAGAACTCCAGAAAAAACATTGCTGTTTTAAAAACAGTTCTCATTACAGAAGAGGAAATTTTGGAGGCCCTTGAAAACAAAAAGGTGGATAAATCTCCTGGACCTGATCCGCTGTATCCCATGACTTTTGTGGGAAGTTAGGGAGGAAATTGCACAGCCCCTTGCAGAAGTATTTGTATCATTTGTAACTACTGGTGAGGTGCTGGATGACTGGAGAGTGGCTAATGCTGTGCCTTTGTTAAAGAAAGGATGCAAGGAGAAGACTGGGAACTATAGATCTGAGAGTCTGGCTTCAGTAGTGGTTAAGTTGATTCTGAAAGATAAGATTTGTCTGCATTTGGAAAGGCAAGGAATGATCAAGGACAGGTAGCATGGTTTTGTGTGAGGGAAATCATGTCTCACAAACTTGATTGAGTTTTTTTTGAGGAAGTAACCAAGAAAATTGATGAGGGCAGAGCAGTAGACGTTATTTACTTGAACTTCAGTAAAGCCTTTGACAAGGTTCTGCAAGGTGGACTAATTAGTAAAGTTAGATCACGTGGGATTCAGGGTGAACTTACCAATTGGATACAAAATTGGCTTGACGGTAGGAGACAGGATGGTGGAGGGTTATTTTTTGGACGAGAGGCCTGTGACCAGCCGTGTTCCACAGCCATCGGTGCTGGATCCACTTTCGTTTGTCATTTATATAAATGATTTAGATGAGAATATAGAAAGTATGTTTGCGAATGACCCCAAGATTGATGGTATGTTGGAAGGTGAAGAATGTTATCTAAGATTATAAAGAGATCTTGATCAATTGGGTCAATGAGCTGAAGAGTGGCAGGTCGAGTTTAATTTGGATAAATGTGAAGTATTACATTTTGGCAAAACAAGTAAACTTAAAGAGTTAAAAGTAGGGCCTTGGGTAGTGTCTTAGAACAGAGAGACTTAAGAGTTCAGTTACATAATTCTTTGAAGTCTGCATCACATATAGATAGGGTGGTTAAGAAGACTTCTAGCATACTTGCCTTCATTGCTCAGACCTTTGAGTATAGGAGTTGGAATGTCATGTCGAGATTATATAGGATGTTGGTGAGGCCTCTTCTAGAGTACTGTGTCCAGTTCTGGTCTCCCTGTTATAAGAAGGATATTATCAAGCTAGAGAGGGTTCAGAAAAGATTTACCAGGATGTTTCCAAGAATAAAGGGTTTAAATTATATGGACAGGCTGGGATTTTTTCACTGGAGCGTAGGAGGTTGAGAGGTGACCTCGTCGAGGTTTATAAAATAATGAGGGGTATGCATAAGGTGAGTGGCAAATGTCTTTTCCCTTGGGTGGGGGATTTCAAGATGAGGGGACATTTTTTAAGGTGAGAGGAGAAAGATTTTAAAAAGACATGGAGGCAATTTTTTTTTAAACAGAATGGGTGATGTGTAATGAACTTCCAGAGGACATGGTGGATACTGGTACAGTTACAAGACATTTGGATACGTACACAAATAAGAAATGTTTGGAGGAATATGGCAGGTGGGACTCATTTAGTTCGGGATTTGGTTGGCATAGACTGGTTGGACCGAAGCACCTGCTTCCAAGCTGTATGACTGTGACTGTATAACTGAGCAGCCCTGGTGGAACAGAATCTGGGCATCAGTGAGCAGGTTATTGTTCAACAAGCACTGCTTGATGACCCCCTTCCATCACTTTACTGGTGATCAAAAGTAGACCAATGGGGGTAGTCTTTGGCTGGGTTAGATTTATCCTGCTTTTTGTGCACAGGAAATACCTGGGCAATATTTGACATCTTGTAAAGGCTAGCATTTTCACTATGACATATCATTTTACAGGGTAGTTTAACAGCTTGATGTCCTTCCCTCCCCTCTTGGTGTCTGGCTTGATTCTTTTGTAGCCGATAATGCTGCAGTGGGAGTTCAACCTGGGGCCTTCCCACCCACAAGAGCAAGAACTATCCCTGGGAACCACATCAGCTTATGCTCTTTTTTGAGGTTATTGGTTGCCACAATTGGACAGTTCCCCGCCAGTTAAGAGGCCTCCCCTTTAGGCTTCTGTCAATGGTACAAGTGTTATTATAATATCAGTTCTATACACTTAGAACAATAAATGTCACAAAATAGCTCACCAAATGAAGAATTAGTTTTAATCTATAATTGCTGCTATATCCGGAAATTTAGCAACATTTTACACCAACAACAATGAAATGAATAACCAGTATTGTTTTTGTGGCATTGATTGGGAGAAAGTTTCCCTCCTCCAACTTGAATGGTAACAGTCAATTTTTGGACAGGCAGATGGGACTTTAGCAAATCTCATCCCAAAGGATGGTACCTTAGTGAAGCAGCTTGACTGGCAATACATTGGAGTAGTAGCTATCGTTATCTGCTCAGATTCCATTGTAGAGTTTGGCTGCTGAATGTGTACAAACTCTGGCTTCTTGGCCTTTCAGTGATCTAGAAGTGCACAGAAAGCAGTGCCTGGAGTAAGGCAAAGAGACAGTATCATGTAAGGGATTATCACAAATGTGCCTATTTCTTTTCCATTGCAGGGTGCTGTCAGTGGAGTACTTCTTGTGACACCAAACAACATTATGTTTGATCCTCTCAAACATGATCCTCTAATAAAGGCGTGGGGCTGTGAGGAATATGGCATCATGTGTCCCATGGAGGAGGTCCTTTCAGCAGCCATGTACAGTGACATTTTGGACAATAAAGTCAAAGAGTCTTTGCCTGTGTAAGCTCCAGTGTTTATAATTCGTGAAAAGTTATTTTGTGCACGTCTTTGTTGTGAACCATGGTATAATGAAATTCCCAGGAATGGTAACTAACTTAAGCTGCTATCCATATCCTGTTGAACAAAGTAAAATGGCTGTCTGGAGGTTCTGTTTTTCTTTGCCCCATCACTGACTGAACTACCTGCAGGTTTACTTATTTCAAATGCACCACTTCTGATCAAAATGGATTATTAAGTGATTAATTGTTACATGCGAACAACAAATTAGGTACAGAAGTAGACCATTAAGCCCCTCTAGCCTGTGCTACCATTTAGTAAGATCAGTGTTGATTTGATACAAACACCGACCCAATAGCTTTTGACTCCCTTGTTAGTCAAGAATCTATTTGTTGCCTTACAAATATTCAATAATCCTGGCTGCTCGCTGGTGAAGAGAGTTCTCCAGACTCCTAACTCGCAGAGAAACAATTCTCCTATTCATTCTCTTAAATGGGAGACTTTTCATTTTCTCAGTGTCCCCTAGATCTAGCCTTTCCCTAAAGGGGAAACAGTTTTTAACACCCACCTTGAAGGGTGAGTCAAGTGACCCCTCTGTAGACTGCTTCATAATGCAGTTATGTCCTTTCTTAAATCAAGAGATCAGAACTGCAGACACAGTGGCTCAATGATTAACACTGCAGCCTCACAGCACCAGGGACCCGGGTTCGATTCCAGCCTTGAGCGACTCTGTGGGGTTTCCGCATTCTCCCTGAAGTGCTGCATCTAGTGTGTTACTTTAGATGGATTAGCCATGGTAAATGTTGGGTTACGGGATATGATGGGGGGGTGCTGAGTGGATTCTCTTCAGAGGGTCTGTGCTGACTCAATGGCCGAATGACCCCCTTCTGCATTGTAGGGATTCTATGATTCTGTACAACTGTAGCAAACATCTCTATTCTTTATTGTATGCCCCTTAGAATAAATGGCAACATTCTGTTTGCCTTTCTAATCACTTCCTGCACCTGTATTCCATTTTTTTTTGTGATTCATATGCCAGGACATCCTTCATACATCAGAGTTGTAAGATCTCTCTCTATTTAAATAACATGCTGTTTTTAAAATTCCTGTCAAAAGAACATTTTCACATTTTGCCACGTTATGCTCCATCTGCCAAAACTTGTGCTAATAACCCATAGCATCCCTACAGCGTGGAAACAGGTCCTTCGGCCCAACAAGTCCACACTGACCTTAAGAGCATCTCACCCAGACCTATCCCACTATAACCCACCTAACCTACACATCCCTGAACACTAGGGGCAATTTAGCAATCCACCTGGCCTGCACATCTTTGGACTGTTGGAGGAAACCGGAGCACCTGGAGGAAACTCACGCAGACGCGGAAGAATGTGCAAACTCCACACAGTCGTCTGAGGGTCAAATCGAACCCGGGCCCCTGGCGCTGTGAGGCAGCAGCGCTAACCACTGAGCCGCCCTGTCTGCTCACTTAACCTCTTTTTGCAGCCTCTTTACCTCTTCTCCACAACTTGCTTTCCAACGTATCTTTGCATCAATAGCAAATTAAGCAACCGTTTAAATGGGTTGTAAATAATTGAATGCCCAACACTGATTCCTATGACACTCCACTTGTTACATCGTGCCAACCTGAAATTTGCTGTTACCACACAAAATAAGGATTTCATGATAGTGAAGGGGGAAAAGCAAGTTAGTTTGGATCGAGGATTGGCTGCCTAATACGTTTTACCCTTAATACCATCATGAATTTTTTTTATTTTGTGCAGTAACTTCTGCTGTGGCACAAAGTTAAATGCCTTCTGGAAATTTAGGTGCACTGCATGTACAGGTTCTCCCTTATCCACATTGTTAATCAGATTCCTCAAAAAACTAATAAATTAGTCAAACTTGATTTTCATTTCAAAAACCAGGTTGACACTACTTGATTACATTAAGATTTTCTATTACTACTGATAACAATAGACTCTAAATTTTCCTTATGATCGATGTTAGGCTAAGCGGCGTATAGTTTCCTGCTTTCCCATGTCTGTCTTTCCCTGACAAAAAGGAGCCACATTTGCTGTTTCTCAATCTGAGAATCTTTTCTAAAATTCCCAAGATTCTGAAAATAATAACCTGTGTATCATGTATTGCTGCAGCCATTTCTTTTAAAACCCTGGGTGAAGTCGATCAGGATCTAGGATTTAGTTCTAATAATTTTCTTACTCTGTTCCTGGTAATTATAATTGCTGTGTATTTCTCCTTCACTGTGAATTTAAAAGTGTGTGCAGGAAGTTATTTGATTCCTCTGAAATGAAGACAGCAGCAAAATGTCTGTTCAATTCATCTGCCATTTCCTCATTTTCTATCCTTGATTCCCTCGACTAACTCTATAAAAAACCAGTCCATTGTTACTAACTCCATTCCTTTTTAAATACTGTTTAAAAAGAATTCTTATTGTTTGATTTAATATTTCTAGCTAGCTTTCTCTTGTCCTCCAAGCTCTTCCTGATTATTTTTGTTATTATTTTACTCGTTGCTGTTTTTCACATTCTCTCCAATTGTCTGACATAATGTTAACCTTCCCAGAATTGTACGTTTTTTTGCCAATGTGATTTGAATCTTCATAGGTTACTCACGGATTGCACATCCTTCCCTGCAAATCTCTCTTATTGAAATCGATCATTGTTGAGTCTTATGAAGTATTTCCTTAAATGTCTGCCACTGCACCACCATTAACCTAATTTCCCAGTTCACTTTAGCCAGCTTTTCTGTCTTTATACCTTTTAGATTTGTCTTTTATTTTAAGTCTAAAATATTAGTCTTAAGTGCACTTCTCTCCTGGAAATTAAATGGATTTGCCAACCATTTGCCTGAATGATGTGTTTATAATGAGAATTCAGTTACACAGATCCATGTTTGCTGAGTTCAATGTCACTACAAATCAAATGAAATACTTTGAAAGAAGTTGGGTGTTGCTATTGAAGTCTCAAGTTTTTTTTAGGCTTTATCATAATTAGGCTTTTGTTGACCTTTCCATTAATTAGTCTTAACATAATTGCCGTTGTACTTTCACTTTACAGTCTATCCATGCATTTTCAACATCACTATTATCACTTAGATATTTTTCTTTTTAAAGACAAAGCAGATTTGTAAACTTGTTTTGAGAAAATGCTAGCGTGCAGTATTCTAAAAGCACTTGTTCATAAACAATTAGTTAGATAAATTCTTTAGTTGTACAATGACACTGGCTGAGTAAGGGGCAAAAACTCAGCAGATACATTTTAATGTAGGAAGAAACAAAAGGCATTATTCAAATGGAGAAGGTCTCCTAAAGTGCAGCACAAAGGGATCCGAGTATTCCTGAGAATTGAAACACAAAATTAGCTACAGCAAGTAATTAAGGTGAATGGAATTCTTGTTACAACTATACTGGGAGTCGGTGTGGCTGTGCCTGGAGTACTGTGCATAATCTGGTCTCCAAATATAAGAGACGATATAAGGGCATTGGAGACAGTTCAAAAAAGATTCAGTAGCATGATTCCTGGGATAAAGGGATTGACTTAGGAAGAATGTCTAAGCAGATTAGGCTTGTATCCATTAGAGTTTAGAAAAATGAGAAGGTAATCTTATTTAAACATAGAAGATTCTAAGCAAATTTGACAGGGTAGATGTTGAGATGATGTTTTCACTCTGGGGTAGGGGAGAGTTTTGAATTATGAGATCTGGTTATAGAATAAGATTAAGACTGAGATGTCTGCGATTCTCCACTTGAGAGTTGTGGAGGCTCTATCACTGAAAGTATTTAAACAGGAGGTCAATAGATTTTTGAAAGATCAGAGCTTTGGGGGTTATGTAAGCCATGATCGTATTGAATGGTAGGGCAAGCTTAAGTGGCTGAATGGCCTACTCTTGCTTGTGTTTCTTATGTTCTAATGTTCATACAACTGAGAAACCTCCTCAGCTTCAGAGTTTTAATACACTTTTGATCTGCTACTTTGACTAAACTCCTTATAATGAGGTAGCCTATTTTTAATACTTTTAAACTCTCTTTTCCCTTTCTCGGGTACAAGTATGTTAGGCATCGAGCTTCAGCCAAGATCTTGCAAAACTATGTAAACTGAATCTAAAAAATATTTTTCTTTCAAGCTACTGGTGCTTCCGCTAATCAAAAGGTCCTCTGGCGTCCTAAATTGGAGCCTAATATCTGACACTTTCACGAGTAAAATTTCCTTAAGTAACCAACAATCCATTATTCATCAAGTCTTTTTTTACTCTCACATTATTAAAATAAATCACCAATGCTGCAGAAATATATGGAAGTTAATCATTAAATCCCTTCAAACATACACACAACTCATGCCTCTAGTTCAAAATTCAAAACTAAATGGTATTAACATAAATCACACACCCTACGTCACACAAGGATGATTCTAGAGTTTGTGCTTGTACACTTGTTAGTGAAGACTAAACAGGCTGGGACCCTTTTCTGTAGAGGAGCCTGATGAGCCTTTACAATCTTGGGTGAAGTCAAAACTAGGGAAGATGTTTCCACTTATAGGAGAGCCCAAACCTAGATGAAGATGGTCACCAGATACTCCTGAAGTAATTCAGGAAAATCTTGTTGAGGTGATAAGTCTGTGACGGATGCTAGATTAAGTGACCAGCCAGAAAGTAAGTAGGTTAGTTGGAAAATTAGTAAAATTAGTCTAAAGTTGATAACTCTGAACTTGCCCATGTCAGGAGGAGGATTAGAAAAGTACATTTATTAAATGACAAGATCCATGAAACTCCTTCGTGTCTGCTTTGGAGCTGTTTTATCTATATGGAATTTATCCCAGTATATTTATTTTTCTGTTTCAATACACAAAATATGAATTATGAAAAATGGATGGATAAGTGAATGGTCTTGTGCAAGGACCATGCACAGGCAGTTCAAAACTGAGTCACTTAAAGTGCTTGAACTGTGAAGAGGATCAAGAATGTAATATTTCTAAAGAATTCTCCAAGAAGGATGAGTGTGTGAAACATCTAAAATGTATTTGGAGTGCAAGCACAGAAATATGCTCAGTTAGAGTCACACTGGAATTTGAATTTTTGGTTTTTTTTGTTTCCTTTCCACCAGAGAACCAGAATGTCCTGGATCAATCAAAGATGCAAACCAGTTAGATGAAAGAGCAAGAAACAATGCTGTTGAAGATGACTTCAAACAACAAGACCCAGGGAATGATAGCATAAGCGCAGCTCCCAGTAGCACAAAGCATTCCTTGTCTGAAGATGTGTTCACTGAATCTGAACTCTCCCCAATCAGAGAAGAACTGGCCTCCTGTGATGAGTTTAGACAAGATAAGTCATCTGGACCCTCATTAAAGTCTGTGCAAACCATGAACCAGTCTGTAAGGGAAAGCTGCCTCCAATCTGCATCTGCAGAACCGTTGGAAGTGAAAGTGACCAAGCAAGTTAGTGCTGAAAGTCTGTTGCGTCATGATGGTCATGAACTGATTGAAATGAAGGGAAGTGGAAACCCGGAGATGGAAATCTCCAAAAACAAACATCACCCCGATGATGATGGTCATGCTGCACATCAAGGTGAGGAGGAACAACAAGCCACTTGTTGTGACCACAAAGATGCTGAAGCTGAAGGATTGGGCATCAAGTGCAGAGCAACTCAGCGTACTTCTGTTTCTGACTCATCAGGGATCTGCAAGAAGGAGAATACTGATCAGTCTAGGAGAGCAGGCGAAGAGCTTGTTCCAGATTCTGCAAATGACATGGAAGGACTCCAAAAACTGTGGAAAAGCCATGCTCTGCAACAGAGGGAAACAATGCAACATGCAGCCAACAAAGACATCAAGCCAAAAACTGGGCAAGCTGCAGAAAGATCTGGAGAAGGTATATTGACCAATTAAAAGTTCTGTGCTTGGGCTGGTACAATGAAACAGATTGTCGTTGAAGAAAGGTGGATATTTTTAGAGATTCAAATTGAAGGTGGTACTGTGACTATTAGGGGCCTGCTAGGACTCCAGCCTTGATGTATATACTTGATATAACATGGATCTTATTTTCAGAATGAGAAGGACCAACTTCAATTTTATGTCTTCCCTCACACAATTGTTTTGTCCTTGAGTTGCTATTTTATGTACATTTCTATCCTCCTTGGAAAAAAAGTGGGGATCATCATAGATTTCCTACAGTGTGGAACCAGGCCCTTCGGCCCAACAAGTCCCAACTGATCCTCAGAGCGTCCCAACTGATCCTCAGAGCATCCCACCCAGACCCATTCCCCCTGTAACCCACCTAATCTACACATCCCTGAATACAACGGGCAATTTAGCATGATCAATCACATGCATGCAAAGATGCCTGCATCTTTGGACTGTGGGAGGAAACCGCAGTACCTGGAGGAAACCCATGCAGACACGGGCAGAATGTGCAAACTTCACACAGACAGTTGCACGGCGGTGGAATCAAACCCAGGTCCCTGGCGCTGTGAGGCAACAGTGGTAACCACTGAGCCATCATGCCGCCCCAGATAAAACATAGCAACTTTACATACAGCAGGGTAATGTTTATAATTGGGGGATGGGTAATTACAGTTCTGTTAGGCAAGAACTGGGTAACATAAAATGGGAACAGATGCTTTCAGGGAGGAGCACTATTGAAACGTGGAGATTGTTTAAGCAATGCATACTGGGTGTGCTCGATATGTTTGTCCATAGCAGGCAGGGAAGATGAGGTCGAGTGAGGGAGCCTTGATTCTCAAGAGAGGTCGAATGACTAGTTAAGAGGAAGAAGGATGCTTGTGTAAGGTGTAGGAAACAAGGAACGGAAAAGGCTCTAGAGGGATACAAGTTATCTAGGAAGGAGCTGAAGAAAGAGCTTAGGAGAGCTATAAGGAGGCATGAGAAAACCTTGGCAGATAGGATCAAGGAAAACTCCAAGGCTTTTTACACGTACGTGAGGAATAAGAGAATGAACAGAGAAAGAGTAGGGCCGATCAAGGATTGTAAAGGGAATTTGTGCACGGAGCCTAAAGAGATAGGAGAGGTCATTAATGAATACTTTTCTTCGGTATGCACAACTGAGAGGGACCTAGTTGTAGAGGAGGACAGTGTGAAACCGGCTGGTAGGCTAGAGGAGGTGGATGTTAGTAAGGAAGATGTGCTAGGAATTTTGAGGAACTTGAAGATAGATAAGTCCCCTGGGCCCGATGGGATTTATCCAAGGATTCTATGGGACGAGAGGGAGGAGATCGCAGGGCCTTTAGTGATGATCTTTTCGTCCTCACTGCCCATGGGTATAGAGCTGGAAGATTGGAGAGAGGCAGACGTCATTCCCTTGTTCAAAAAGGGGAATAGGAAATTCAGGCCAGTTAGTCTTACATCAGTGGTGGGCAAATTATTAGAAAGAGCTTTGAGAGATGGGATTTATGATCACTTGGAAAGGCACAGTTTGATTTGTGATAGCATGGATTTGTGAGGGCTAGACCATGCCTCACAAACCTTATTAAATTCTTTGAAGAGGTGACCAAACACGTGAATGAAGGTAGAGCAGTGGATGTGGTACACATGGATTTAAGCAAGGTGTTTGATAAGGTTCCCCATGGTAGGCTCATGCAGAAAGTAAGGAGGCATGGGATAGGGGGAAATGTGGCAGATTGGATTCAGAATTGGCTGACCCTTAGAAGACAAAGGGTGGTAGTGGACAGAAAATATTCAACATGGTGCTCAGTTACAAGTGGTATACCACAAGGATCTGTTCTGGGTCCTCTTTGATTTGTGATTTTTGTAAATGATTTGGACGAAGGAGTGGAAGGGTGGATTAGTAAGTTCGCGGACGATACGAAGGTGGGTCGTGTTGTGGACAGTGAGGAGGGCTGTTCTAGGTTACAAAGGGACATTGATAGAATGCAGAGCTGGGCTGAGAAGCGGCAGGTGGAGTTTAACCCTGAAAAGTGTGAGGTGATTCATTTTGGAAGGACAAACTTGAAAGCAGAATACAGGGTTAACAGAAAGATTCTTGGCAGTGTGGAGAAGCAGAGGGATCTTGGGGTTCATGTCCACAGTTCCCTGAAAGCTATCACCCAGGTGGATAGAGTTGTTAAGAAGGCGTATGGTTTGTTAGCTTTCATTAATAGAGGGATTGAGTTCAAGAGCCATGAAGTTGTGCTCCAGCTACACAAAACCCTCGTTCAGCCACATCTGGAGTATTGTGTCCAGTTCTGGTCGCCTCATTACAGGAAAGATGTAGAAACGTTGGAAAAGGTGTAGAGGAGATTTACCAGGATGTTGCCTGGAATGGAGGGAAGGTTGAGAGAGCTAGGGCTTTTCACTTTAGAACGACGAAGAATGAGAGGTGACTTGATAGAGGTGTACAAAATGATTAGAGGTCTAGATGGAGTGGATCGCCAGAGACTTTTTCCTCGGGTGGAGGTAGCTATTATGAGGGGGCATAGTTTTACAGTGAGTGGAGGTAGATACAAGGGAGACGTCAGAGGTAGGTTCTTTATTCAAAGAGTGGTCAGGGTGTGGGATGCATTGCCGGAGAGGGTAGTGGAGTCGGCCTCATTGGGGCATTTAAGCAGCTATTAGATAGGCATTAGGATGATAGTATAAGATAGGGGTGGAGGTTAGATAGACTTTAGGATTAGGGTAAAAGTTCGGCACAACATCGTGGGCCGAAGGGCCTGTACTGTGCTGTACTGTTCTATGTTTTGTGTTCTAGCAAGGGGTCGTATGCTCTAATTCCTAATTAATATCACAATGTGGACCTGGAGGAACACAGCAGGCCAGGCAGCATCAGAGGAGCACGAGAAGGGAGCCCAGAAATAAATAGAGAGAGGAGGAGTATGGCTGGAGAAGGTAAGTGTGATGGTGATAGGTGAGTGCAGGTAGGGAGTGGAGGGGATTGGTGAATGAGGTGAGAGAGAAGACACATAGGTTGTGTCAGGTCAAGGAGACTGGGATGAGAGGGAGGGTTGGTCATGGGATGAGGCCAGGGAGATTTTGAAATTGGTAAAATCCACGTTTAGGCCATTGGGCTCTAGGCTCCCGAGGTGGAATATGAAGTGCTGCTCGTCCAGTTTCTGGGTGGTGTCACTGTGACACTGGAGGAGGCTCAGGATGGGCATGTCACCCAGGGAGTGGGAGAGGAGTTAAACTTGTTTGCAACTGGAAGGTGTTGTCACTTGTCACAAACAGCGCGCAGATGGTCTACAAAACGGTCTCCGAGCCTTCGCCTCTCCCACCTCACTGACCAATTCCCACCACTCCCTATCTGCATTACGTATCACCATCCCACCTACCTTCCCCAGCCCCACCCCTCCTCTCTCAATTTATTTCTGAGGTCCTTTCCCCCTCCTCATTTCTGAAGAAGAGTCTCGACCTGAAATGTTAATTTTCCTGCTCCTCTGATTCCTGCCTGGCCTGCTGTGTTCCTCCAGCTCCACACACTGTGTTATCTCTGACTCCAGCATCTGCAGTTCTTCTGGCCCACCCAGAGGGAATATCTGAGGCTTCATAGAGCTCCACAGTAACCCATTGCCAAGTGTAATTGCTAACACCTTTCCCAGTGACAGGCCGGAAGTCATATGCCACAGGAAGACTGTGGAAAGAAGTAATTTGGACAAAATACAGAATCATTTGAACAAATTCTGCATTTGAATTATGCAGACATTTTCATAGTTCAATGCTAACCATATGATCACAACTTCATAAGAGTAATCTGCACCAATTTGATGTACACAATGAGAGTCAGTTTTGAACTCTCAACCTCCTGTATCCTATTGATAACTCAAAGCAGTGTAATCTGATATTGGTTTAGGCTACTGTTTCAGGTATCTCTTGCAGTTATCAGTAGTGGGCAATATACTTCTTTTATATGGAATTAAGAGATGGAGTAAGTTTACAATGTATTGAACAGATGATGGAAGTTTTCTGGCTTTTTTTTTAAAGCCAAAAGGAGTGCCCCCCTCACCCTGATTGCTCGGCTTTCCTGTATGCCACTCCCTTGAGCTTGAGCTTGCCAGCAGTAAGGTAAATAGCTGATATTCAGTTAGAGTCATAGAGCTGTACAGCAATGGAAACAGACCCTTTGGCCCAATTCATCCATGCTGACCAGATATCCAAAATTAATCTAGTCCCATTTGCCAGCATTTGGTCCATATCCCTCTAAACCCTTCCTATTCATTTACCCATCCAGGTGCCTTTTAAATGTTGTAATTGTACCAGCCTCCACCACTTCCTCTGGCAACTCATTCCATACACGCACCGCCCTTTGCATGAAAAAGTTACCCTTTAGGTGCTTTTTAATGGATGAACTCCGGATCATTCGGGAGGCTGAGGGGATGGTAGATAGGAGTTATAGGGAGATGGTCACACCCAAGTTACAAGACAAAGGTAGCTGGGTGACTGTCTGAAGGGGAAAATGGAATAGGCAGATAGTACAGGGACCCCCTGTGGCCATTCTCCTCAATAATAAGTATACTGCTTTGGATCCTATTGAGGGTTGGGTGGGGAACCTAACAGGGGAAAGCCATAGCAGCCAGCTGTCTGGCACTGAGCCTGGCTCTGTGGCTCAGAAGGGAGGGGGGGAGAATAGGAGAATGATAGTGATAGGAGATTCAATGGTTAGGGGAACAGACAGGAGATTCTGTGGTACGGAGTGAGACTCCCGGATGGTGTGTTACTTCCAGAGTGCCAGGGTCAGGGATCTCTTGGATCGAGTCTTCAGGATTCTTAAGGGGGAGGGAGAGTACCAATGACATAGCTAGGAAATGGGATGAGGATCTGAAAAGTGAATATAGGGAGTTAGGATGGAAGCCGAAAGCCAGGACGAGCAGAGTAGTAATCTCAGGATTACTACTGGTGCCACGGACTAGTGAGGCCAGAAAC